CCTGGTTTTACCCCAGCCCCATCCTTGCATCACTGGGGGCGAGTGGGGACGTGGGCTAAGGTCTTAGCCCCACCACTAAAAGAATACAGGAAAACCCCTTCCAAGCATCTCTCCCTCCCTGGTTATTCCATGGGCTCTACTTCTTCCTGCAGAGGAGTGGTCACGAGTCTGGCAAAACCTGAGTTGGAATCCCAACTCTGCCCCTTTTTAGTTGTGTGCCCTTGGGAAGGGCAATTCCTTCACTGTGTAGATTTTCTCGTCTGTAAAATAAGGGTAATAAGGGTAATAATAGTATGTTCCTCATAGGGCAGTGGTTGCTGTTGGGAGGATTCAAGATTTCCAGCAAGTGAAACACATACAGTGTGGCTGGCATACTTGCTTGAGCAATAAAGAGTGGATTTTATTCTTAGCAGTGCTTTTTGCTTTTACCCCACCTTTGCCTGTCTCAAGTCCAGATATTCTTAGTTCCCTTTTACAGCCCAATTTCATTTCTCCTTCCCTCCAAGAAGACATCCGTGAGTACTCCATCTTGTGCTAGGCTTCATGGGGGCTCTCTCCCTTAAGCTCCTTTTGTAGCACTGAAAGAAGTGGGGGAGGGCGCCTGGGTGGCTCAGTTGGTTAAGCGACTGCCTTCGGCTCAGGTCATGATCCTAGAGTCCCTGGATCAAGTCCCGCATCGGGCTCCCTGCTCGGCAGGGAGCCTGTTTCTCCCTCTGACCCTCCCCCCTCTCATGTGCTCTCTGTCTCTCTCATTCTCTCTGTCTCAAATAAATAAATAAAATCTTTAAAAAAAAAAAAAAAAAGAAGTGGGGGAGAGGGCTGGGAGACCACTGTGTGTGGGTAGGGGTTGGGAGAGAAGGTGGGAGAGCAGAGCGGGGACCAGATCCCAAAGGACCCAGACCCCCAGTTTGAGAGGATAAAACTTTCTCCTGAGGGCAGTGGGGAGCCATGGAAGGTTTGTGAACAAGAGCAGCCCTGGGACCTTGTATGGGATGAACCAGAGGGGAGAGACTGGAGGCCAGGAGGGAGGTTGAAGTGATGGCACAGGGAAAGAAGAGGGCTGAGCTGGCGCTAGGCGGTCTGGAGGAGGCTGCATTGAGTTCACCATATGGAGAAGGTTGGGTGGATAGTCATAGAGGGGATGACCTGTAGAAAGTCCTGGGGGTGTGAGAACACCTGGTATGCTCCAGAGATGGTGAATCATCCAGGATGGTGGAGCTGGGGGTTGAGGTGGGAGAAGTGGGTGGATGGCTGGAAGTAGAAGTCAGTGGAAGATAGGGCTGGCCTTGAGTGCCAGGAAGAAGCACTTGGCCTTGATCCCGAGGGCTTTGAGAAAACGACAGGGTCAGTTCTGCGTACTAGAAAGATCTTGCTGCAGTCCATTTGAGGGGACAGCAATGCGCAGGGAGGAGGAGATACAGGAGGTCCCCAGAGAAATGAGGGGAGCAGACAGGCCCAACTGGTCAAGCCCCAGGCTTCTGCATGCTTTCTGGGCTGCTCCCACAGACGTGCACCAAGCATGATCCCTAACAGATGTACACGCCTCTACCCCCAAGTCCCAGGGCTGTCCTGTCCTCAGAGAAGTCTTCTTTTCTTACAACCTCCACCGCATCATCTGTGAGGAAGGCAAAATAACCTCTAAGCCAGGGGTCCTCCCGGGAAGGCACGTGGGACAGTTAGGGGCTCCCAGAGAGAGAGAGAGGGAAAAGACAGCCCTACATGGGGGCTGGATTTAGAAGCAGAGAAATATTTGGGAACAGAAGGAGAATCAGAGACAATAATTCATTTGTTTCAGTATTTATTGCAACCTTATTTTTGCCCAGTGCAGCGTAGAATGAAATCAGACGTTATTAAACAGAGCAACTGCATCCTAGGAGATGTTCAAAGTCAATCGTGTGTCATTCTGCGATGGGAGAGTTATGTGGTCCAAAGACAGAGGGAGTAATTTAAAAGAACGGAGTCCCTCAGTTGCAAAGATCTTCAGATTTGGAGAAAAAGCACATGTCTTAAGAACCAAAGCAAGGTGAAAGTTGATCAAGCCACATGATGGGAGGGAGTGGCTGATTTTTATGCGTATGTGGAAATACTAAGTCATGTGAATGGCCTGGGCCCGCCTTGACCAATCCCTTCTAAAGGTTTTGGATGGTATATAGGGCTGTGAAATGCACCAGAGTCACCAGGAGGAACCAGTCAACAAATGTCCAGAGCAAAATCAACTTCAGTTCATTAAGAGAGAATTATCTTCTTTAAAGGATATGACAAATAAGAAACACTTAGTACATGCCAGGCGCTGGTCTAAGAGCTTTACATAGTAACACATTTAATCTTCATAGCACACCTATGAACTAAGTACCATTATTGTTTCGATGTTACAGACAGGGAAACTGAGACACAGAGAGGATCCTCGATTAGCCCAAAGTTTCACAGAGAGTAAGTGGCCAAGCTGACATCTGAATGCCAAGGGTTGTTTCAGGTCCTCACTGCTCAGGTATAGGGTAGTCTTCTTTCAATTCCGGAACATTCTCAAGTTGCTCATTTTTACACGTGTAATATGCATAGATGTATAAATTTACCTAAATGTTCTGGGAGGTTTGTCTAAAAACTGAAGGGCTTCCAAAAGAGACTGAATGTGTTGGTTTTAGAAATGTAGTTTAGGGGGGCGCCTGGGTGGCTCAGTTGGTTAAGCGACTGCCTTCGGCTCAGGTCATGATCCTGGAGTCCCGGGATCGAGTCCCGCATCGGGCTCCCTGCTCAGCAGGGAACCTGCTTCTTCCTCTGCCCCTCACCTTGCTTGTTCCCTCTCTCTCTCTAAAATAAATAAATAACATCTTTTAAAAAATAGAAATGTAGTTTAAAATGTTTGAAGATACTTAATTAACTGAGTTTGTAAATGAGACCAAACATTATTGTAAAGACCTATCTGGAATAAAGAGGCATATCTAGAATTAAAAGGGTTGTAAGCCAACCTTGAAAGATTAAGGAAGAAGTGGGTTGCTGGATTTGTCACTTCCATGCGTGCAATGTGAATCGCAATAATCAAAATAACCCTCAGAACAGTTTTTTTCCCCCTGTACCCTGAAGCCAGGATCAAAGCCTCTAAAACCTCTGGTTCAGCAGATGCCAGCTTACAGAAGGGAGCAATTCAGCTTGGTTCTGCCCCCAAGGGATGTGAGACCACGAGGACAGCAGCATCTCCAGGAGTCCTTGTCCATTTTGTTCACGGGTGGACCTCAGTCTGGCTCGCAGGGGTTGCTCAGGAGAGAGCTGTTGAGTGAGTGAGTGGCTCCTACATCCCAGCTGGTCAGAAACTTGGAAACACAGTCAGAGACAGATTCAGAGAGTCAGGGCCAGACAGAAAAAAGAGGTCAAATGGAGAAAAGGTGGGGAGAGGCAGCTCCAGATGGCCCAGGACTGGTGAGACAGAAGCCACCTTTTGGGATCCCCGCCCAGTGCCCCATTTCCCAAAGGGCCAGGAGCCACCCACCCCCTCTCCTGGCCTCTTGGCCTCTTTCCCCATCAACAGGTTGCCCTGCCCAACCCTCTCACGCACGCCTGGCTGCACCAGCTCAGCCAAGTCCTCTGCAGGGGGCCCCCAGACTGGATCCCTACTCCTTTTTGCCCTGTGGCCCCAGCCCCAAGGTGAGGGGCAGGAGGAGGGAGGAAGGATCCCTTTGGCAAAGTGGCCTGAGTCTTCTCTACTCCAAAGGCAACGCAAGGGAGACAGAGGGACACAAAGATGCAGAGATACAGATGCTTAGAGCCAGTGACGGGGGTGGGGAGGGAGGGACAGAGGGACAGAAGGGGGCAGATGCAGAGACAGAAACAGAGAGAGACTGAGAAGGATAGAGTCACAGAGGAAAGAGAGGTAACACAGAAGGAAAGATACAAGAGAGACTCTGAGGTATAGAGACCGAGATTGAGAATCACAGACACATACATGGAGTGATGGACATGCTCACTATCGGTGGTGATGTGTGTCAGACCTCATCAAATCCTACACATTAAATATGCACAGTTTATTGTGATTCCACCTGATTCCACCTCAAAGCTGTAAAGAAAAAAAAGGGGGGGGCGCCTGGGTGGCTCAGTTGGCTAAGCGGCTGCCTTCGGCTCAGGTCATGATCCCAGGGTCCTGGGATTGAGCCCCGCATCGGGCTCCCTGCTCAGCCAGGAGCCTGCTTCTCCCTCTCCCACTCCCCCTGCTTGTGTTCCCTCTCTCGCTGTTTCTCTCTCTCTCAAATAAATAAATAAACAAAGATTAAAAAAAAAAGATGGGAAGATGATAAGGTGGGACGGAGAGAGGCAGAATGAGTGAAGAACGCGGAAAATAAAGAAAAATCCAGATACCAAGAAGACCCCCCAGAGCTGGTGAGAAGCATGAGCTTGAAGCTGGGGGGACAGGGGTTCAGGGCAGGATGGGCCAGTCTTGCGGAGACCCGTTTCCAACCCTCCCTCCTGGCAAGAAAGTAGGGAGGGGCCTTCGGGACTGGGTGGGGGGTGCTCTGGGGGTGGAGGTGGGGGGAAGCGGGAGGAGTGATTGCTGAGGCCTGGCAGGGCGCCTCACTACCTGGGAATGCGCCCCGGGGATCAGTGGGTGGTTATAACTCAGGCTGAGTGCCCAGAGCCGAGGAGAAGGTGGCTGAAGGACGGCACAGGCCTGAGAAGTCTGTCGCTGAGCTGGGAGTGGGTTCCCCACACCCTACCTGGGGGACTCGGCAGGTGAGGCCTGCGGAAGAGGACAGGGAGAGGGAAAGGTGTCTGCGTCTGGCTCTGGTCTTGGATGCACCCCTACTCTCTCTTTATCTTCCCTCTTTGCACAACTGGAGGGTTCTGGATGTCTGCTCCTCTGAAGTCTGTAGTCTCTGGGTTGGGGGGCAATGTCCTTGTGGTTCCTTTCTGCCCTGAGAAATGGGGCAAAGAAGGAAGGGAGGTGGGGTAAAGGGCTCCCAGCATCACCCGGGCCTCCCTGCCCTCTGTCCTCCCCACAAGGTGCAGTGGCCATGGCTCCAGCAGGACACTCCTGGATGTGGATGGTCGGTGCCCTGATCACAGCCCTGATTCTGGGGGTGACAGGTAACCAGAACCCCTGTTGTGCACCTGTCAGCTAACTGTGGGTGGGGCTGTGGGTGACTCTGAGTGACATTGGAGTGTTTGTCCCGGGGTGCACTCTGTGTGATGGGGTATGGCTCTGGGACTGGGTGACTGTGAGTCGGAGTCTCTATTCATGTTCGGACGACTGTGGGTGGCTGTGTGCCTGTCACTGTGTGTGGTTTTGGGGGGGTGCCTTTCCCCATATCAAGTGACTGCCTGTAACTGGGGCACTCGCTTGGAGGCTGTGTGTGCGTTTGGGATCGTGTGTGACTCAGTGTCTGTGCGGGTAATTGTGTGCACATTATGTGTGACCGAAGGCATCTGGAGTTCTTGTAACAAAAGTGCTGGTTACGGTGAAAACGCGCAGCCAGGTGCTTGCAGGTAAGGAACGCTTTGGGGCTGAGCGATTGCCGCTGAGCGCAGGACTATGCGCGGCTCTGCGTGGGCTCTGTGGCCGCTTGAGGTTCTACGTCGGGGTGACGGTGACTGCGTGTTTATCGGGGGCTGTCTGTGTGGTGGGGCAACCGCGTGGGTGGAGTTTCCGTCCCTGCCTTGAGGGGCTGGGTGTGCTGGAGTGTCTGTCACTACGAGGTCTTGGCTGGGTGAAGATGGCTGATGCTAGGTCACTTGCACTGTGCCCTGCCGGGCTGACGGAGGGTAATGTTGTCTCCATGCCCACGTGCCCGCGTGCGGAAGAGCCTGGGCTGGTCTCCTCCGTGTCCCCGAGACACTGCGTGGGGGCGCGAGATCTTGCGAGGCTGCCGCCTGGTGCGCTTGCCCGGAGAGGGTGGGCACCGTGAGCCGCGGAGGGCCCGGTGGAGACGGTGCGCCCCTCATTAACTGTGCGTGTGCTGATCTGTCACAGAAGCCGTGTGCGTGTTTCCTGGAGTGTGCGCGCCAGGCGCTTGGCATCTGTGGGTCATCAGCAAGAATGTGAACAAGTACACAGACCATGGGGGGCGGAGCAAAGGAGTGGGGTATCTGTGTCTGGCTGTAGGGGGGAGGGTACTGCCAGCAGGATTCAGGAGGTGAACATTCGTGTTTGAGAATTCAAAATGAGTCCTGTTTTCTGTCGCCATCGGGCCCCTCTAGCTGAGCACCCCTCCTGGTTCTGTTCCCCCAACTCTCCCTCCGTCCAGCGGCTCTGACCCTGTCCCCCTTTCCTCAACCGCACTGCTACTCCAGACTTTATCCACAGCCAAGATCCCCTTGGGCTGTGCACCCCCCAGCCCCGCAAGCCAGGCCCCACCTCGATGGCTCTCCCCGTTTTGGCCACGGTCCACTTCCGGTCCTGTCGGCAGCTCCTAAAACCCAGCCCCTACCTCCTTGCCCGAAGTCTGGGCTCTTTATAGAGTCGATCTCCCCACGTGACCCTGGCCTCTCAAACTGCCCCCTCCAGCCCTGACCTCATTCGCTGAGGCCTGACCCCACTTCTTGAGCCGAGGTCCCACCACTAAAGCCCTGATCACGGGCCCATTCCCAGGCTCCACCCCCTGAGCCTTGGCTCCGCCCCTGGGAAGGCCCAATTTTACCTCCCTTGGCCCCGCCCACTGAGCTCTAGCCACTCCCAGGAACCTTGAGGCGCAGTCAGAGTCCAGTAAACCACCTGATCCTGGACACTGTCCTTGAGTTCTTTTTTTTTTTTTTTTTTAAGATTTTATTTATTTATTCATGAGAGACAGACGGAGAGAGAGGCAGAGGGAGAAGCAGGCTCCCAAGGAGCAGGGAGCCCGATGCGGGACTCGATCCCAGGACCCTGGGATCATGACCTGAGCCGAAGGCAGACGCTTAACCATCTGAGCCACCCAGGCGCCCGATGGCCTCACTTTTAGTGGCCTTTCCCTGAGGCCCCAATCCCAGTCCCAATGTAGGTTCGTCCCAGCTGCTCTTTCCTTCAGTTGGTGATGGCCAATCTCACACCCATGAGGGAAAGAAGCACAAAATCATTCACCTTTAGCCCAGAAGGCTGACCTGCACTGTTTCAGTAAGAGTCAATTATGTGCTGGTTCCAACATTCTTTTTTTTTTTTTTTTTTTTAGATTTTATTTATTTATTTATTTGAGAGAGAGAGAGAGCACATGAGACGGGGGGAGGGTCAGAGGCAGAAGCAGGCTCCGCACTGAGCAGGGAGTCCGATGAGGGACTCGATCCCGGGATTCCAGGATCATGACCTGAGCCGAAGGCAGACGCTTAACCATCTGAGCCACCCAGGCACCCTGTCCTTGAGTTCTAAGCCTTGCCCCTCTTCCAGGTTTCACCCTTAGACTCCGGGCCTTAGACTCCAGGCTCCGCCCCTAAAGCCCTGGGCCCGACCCCTTCCTCAATATAAGAGTCTTTCGGGGGTCAGACGACCTCCGGAGGGTCCCACCTCTTGGATCTAAGACCCCCCCGCTGAGCCCAAGCTCCGCCCCGATCCCAAGCCCCGCCCGTTTTCGGCCCCCAGAGCCTGTTCTTGCGGATGGTGTTGCCTCCTGCAACAACCCCTCCGACACTGGGCCCTCTGGAAGCGCCCGGGACACTGGAGCTGGGGCCCAGGAGAGCACCAGGGCAGACGAAGACAGCAGCCCCCGCATTGTGAATGGGACCGACTGCGAGATGCACGCCCAGCCGTGGCAGGGTGCGCTGGTGCTGCAGGCCAGCCAGCTCTACTGCGGGGCGGTGCTGGTGAATCCGCAGTGGCTGCTCACAGCCGCCCACTGCCGGAAACCGTGAGTGGGGCTCCAGGAGCAGGGCTGGACAGGGCAGGGGCGAGCGGGAGGGGCATGGAGGTGAGTGAGCAAGGGGTACAGCTGGGATGGGATCAGGGATGGAGTTGGGCTGGCGAGCGGGGTTAGGCTGGGGAGAAGATTGTGGTGGGGGTGGGAGTTAGAGATGTGGTGGATTTGGGGTGAGGAGTGCATATGTGGAGTGGCTTGGAATGGAGATGTGATTCAGATTCAGACTGGCTTTGGAGTTTGGGATGGGGTAGGGTAGAGATGAAAATGGTATTGGGATTGGAAATAGCTGTGGGCTTGAAGACGGGGTTGGGGTTAGCTTTAAGAATGGTACTGGAGATGGCTGGATTTGGAGTTGGGAAGGCACGTGTTGATGGTTGGAGGGTGGGCGAAGAATTAGGGCTAGGGTCAGGGATGCAAATGGGTTGGATTTGGGGCTGGGCATGAGTATGTTGACGGGCTGGGACAGAGATGCCATTAGGAGAATTGGAGATGGGTGGAGATACAGGGGGATGGGTTAGGGCTGGGGGCGGGAATGGATGTAGGATTGAGGATGGGGTTGGATTAGAGTTATTGGGGGGGTGGAGGGTTGGATTTGAGGTTAGGGTGGTTAGATCAGGGTTGGGAATGCAGAGGTGGTGGTTTATATGTGGGGAAAGGATTCAGGTTGGGGATGGGATGGGGTGAAGACGGGGTTGCGATTAGATTTGGGGTGTGCTCAGCACTGGATATGGGCATAGGGATCGGGGTTGCTAGTAATCTGCACCATCTTCTTTAGATTTTACAGAATTGTTCTTGGCCACCATTCCTTTTCGCCCGTTTATGAAACTGGGCAGCAGTTGTTCAAAGGGATCAAATCTATCCCCCATCCTGGCTATTCCCATCCTAGCCACTCCAATGACCTCATGCTCATCAAACTGAACAGAAGAATCCATCAGACTCAGGCTGTTAAGCCCATCAACATCTCCTCCCACTGTCCCACTGCTGGGACCAGCTGCTTGGTTTCTGGCTGGGGAACAACCAGTAGCCCCCACAGTGAGCGTCCAGGTCCCTCTTGATGCCCACCCATGCCTGCCTTCTCCCCCTCTCTGCCTCTGAGCACTGCCCCTCCCCATCTTTCTCCGTTGCTCATAGTGGCCCTGCTCTGTGTGTGTTTCCGACAGTTAAATTCCCCAAGGTCCTCCAGTGCTTGAACATCACTGTGCTAAGTACCAGCAGGTGCAAGAAGGCCTATCCAGGACAGATAGACTCCACTATGTTCTGCGCTGGTGACGAGGCGGGCAGAGACTCCTGCCAGGTAAGGCTCAAGACTTCTACATTCAGGCAGCAGAGACGCCCTGAGTGCCAACTATGTAACCTGAAACTTTGCTAAGTCCTGGGAACCCATCCCTGTCCAATAGAAATATAATGTGAGTCATACATGTCATTTTAAATTTTCTAGTAGCTACATTTTACAAAGTGAAAAAGAAGCAGGTAAATTTTGCTATCTTAATAATAAATTCTATTTAACCCCATGTATCCCAAGTAGCATGACTTCAAAATGTAGTTAATATAAAACAATTATAAATGAGATATGTTATATTCTTTTTTTTTTAATAGTAAGTCTGTGAAATCCAATGTGCATCACATGACAGCATATCTCAATCGGGCTAGCCATGTTTCAAGCGCTCAACAGCCCCATGTGACTAGTGGCTACCATATTAGACAGCACTGGTCTAGAGGGAGAGATCAAGAGATCAAGCCTGCTTTGTATGGTTGGGCAGGTTGTGCACTGTATACATATATCACTGCTAAGGGGGCAATCTTCGTGTAGTAGACATTCACAGTGTTGTCTATTTATTTTAGCAAATTTCAGGCAGATGGCAGTTAAGTATCTTGTCCCCACAAAATCTATAGTATGAAAGTTTTCTGACAAATGCTAGTAAACAGTCTTGAGGAAGAAAGACAAAAACCTTTGCCAGGTATTTGAAAAAAAAGAGAATGTTTAATAAAGAGGCTTGATTGCAAGCTTGTTGGAAGGGCTGGAGGGGCAAAAAGGTAAAAAACCCCAATGGTTGGGGCGCCTGGCTGGCTCAGTTGGAAGAGCGGGCGATTCTTGATCTCAGGGTTATGAGTTCAAGCCCCAAGTTGAGTATAGAGATTACTTAAAATAAAATAAAAAATAAAATTATTTAAAAAACCCCAATGGTCAAGAAAATGCATAAATAGGGTAATTTCAGAGACGGATAAAAACTATGCAGAAAGTAAAACATAGTTTTATGATAGCGAGTGATGAGGGGCAATATTCAAAAGGGTGGTTGGGAGATGGGTAGAGGGCAGAGGCGGGTAGAGACTGAATGACATAAAGGAGCCAGCCTTGCAAAGGTTAAGGGCAGGAAAAGCAAGTGCAAAGGCCCTGCAGGAGGGAGGAGTTTGGCTGCCTTTTTTATTCTTATGTTAATCCCCATACATTACATCATTAGTTTTAGATGAATTGTTCCATGATTCATTGTTTGTGCACAACACAACAAAGGACAGAAAAAGCCAGAATGTTTGGGGAACTGAGTTGGGGGGGGGAGTGGACGCAGTTAGAGTTGAGCCTGGAGAGATGGGTGGGGACCAATGTTCAACAAATATTCCTTGATTCCCAACACAGAGCTTCTCTGTGTCCTCATGGAAGCTCTATCTGTTGAGGATGACAGAAATTAAAAGTAAACTCTTGCAGGGATCAGGACCCTCCCCTGTATTCAGGCCCTCAAGGGTTCTAGAAGGATGTAAATTAAGGTGCTTTCTGCTGGCAGGATGAACACTTCAGTAATATTGGCAATTACTAAGGAAGCTGTGGCCTCAGACAGCACTCTTGTCCCATTTTGATGGCTGGGAAAGAGTTCCTCCCCACCAATTTTATAAACCTAGAGGATTGTAGCAACTTCCCGATGTCATCTCTGTCCCCACTCGATATGGAAACACGCACATCTGGATAGAGGAGTGGGCAGAGGGATTTTTATCAGAAGAAAGCACGTCTAATTCGAATGTTGGCATTCTTTAAAAAGATTTTTTTAATTAATTTTTAATTAATTTTTTTTAAGATTTTATTTTTATTTCTTTGACAGAGAGAGACACAGCGAGAGAGAGAGAGAGCACAAGCAGGGGGAGTGAGAGAGGGAGAAGCAGGCTCCCCGCTGATCAGGGAGCCCGACGCAGGGCTCGATCCCAGACCCTGGGATCATGACCTGAGCCAAAGGCAGACGCTTAACGACTGAGCCACCCAGGTGCCCCAAAAAGATATTTATTTTATTCGAGTCCACCTGGGGCTCGAACTCGACCTCGAGACCAAGAGTTGGGCGGTCCACCAACTGAGCCAGCCAGGCGCCCCCCAAATGTCAGCATTTAAAACCATTTAGCTTTTCTGGAACCAAGTTTAGTACCTTGTTTTTCATTTTGCAGACCTCAATTAGCTTTTCATACCAGCATGTGGTCAGGGTGTGGCCACTCAGAGCAAAAAGTAATAACACTAATACTATAATAATAACGTGGGGCCCTGCTCTATGTGGTTCACATACAGCGGCTCATTAACTCACTATTATTAGCTCTATTTTATAGACGAGGAGCCAAGCTCAGGGCAGTTAACGAACTGCCTCTCAAAGGAAACTCTGCAGGGACATAAACAAAATATAATGAGAAAAATTAAGTCCCAAGACAGCTGAAATTTAGAGGTGCACGCAGTCAGGTTCTTTTGCCTGAAATAGAGTCTGCTAACATGGAAAGAAGTTGAGCTCTGGATTTCTTTTTTTTTTTTCTAATTAAGGTTTTTTTTTTTTATTCTTATGTTAATCCCCATACATTACATCATTAGTTTTAGATGAATTGTTCCATGATTCATTGTTTGTGCACAACACCCAGTGCTCCATGCAGAACGTGCCCTCCTCAATACCCACCACCAGGCTAACCCATCCTCCCACCCCCCTCCCCTCTAGAACCCTCAGTTTGTTTTTCAGAGTCCATCATCTCTCATGGTTCGTCTACCCCTCCGATTTCTCCCGCTTCATTCTTCCCCTCCCGCTACCTTCTTCTTCTTCTTCTTTTTTTTTCTTAACATATCTTGCATTATTTGTTTCAGAGGTACAGATCTGAGATTCAACAGTCTTGCACAATTCACAGCGCTTACCAGAGCACATACCCTCCCCAGTGTCTATCACCCAGTCACCCCATCCCTCCCACCCCACCCCCCACTCCAGCAACCCTCAGTTTGTTTCCTGCGATTAAGAATTCCTCATACCAGTGAGGTCATATGATACATGTCTTTCCCTGATTGACTTATTTCGCTCAGCATAACACCCTCCAGTTCCATCCACATCGTTGCAAATGGCAAGATCTCATTCCTTTTGATGGCTGCATAATATTCCATTGTGTATATATACCACATCTTCTTTATCCAGTCATCTGTCGATGGACATCTTGGCTCTTTGGATTTCTTTATAACTGATACTAGTATCTTGCGAAAACATACATTAGAAATGACGGTAAAGAGTGGTATTATAGGAGAGTAGCTGCAGGAGTTTGGGGAGTTAAGGACAGGCAACCCAAGGAAGCAGTCCTCAACCCCGCCCCCGAGGGACATATGACAATACCTGGCGATAGTCTTGGTTATCACAATTGTGCCTGGGGGAGGAAGGGGGTGACTGGCATCTAATGCATAGAGGTCAAGGATGCTGCTGAGCATCTTACAATGCACAGGACGGCCGCCACACCAAAGAATGATCTAGCCCCAGCGTCAGTGGTGCCCAGGATGAGAAAGCCTCATCCTTCAGGGGCCAGAGAGCTGCCTCTCTGCAAAGGTGAGGTCTAAGTACAAGACGGATTGGTGTCGAGGGCCGGCGAAGAATGAGGAAGGGAAAGGAAGCCATGTCAAGTGTGCTCAGTAGGAGAAATACAGTGCTCAAAGGTTGGAATAGAGAAAGACAAATAGGGACAGAGAGACCCAGTGAGGGAGACACACGGAACTTCTAAAGGTGGGACTTACAGGGAAATGTTAACATTTCCTCTCTCTCTCTCTCTCTCTCTCTCTCTCTCTCTCTCTCTGTGTGTGTGTGTGTGTCTTATCTGTGTCTCCCTCTCTGTCTTTGTGTCTCTTCACCCCTCTACTTTTTCACCTCTATGTCTCTATCTCTTGCCTCCCTGGCCCTTCTTCACCTGTGTGTCTCCGTCCATCCATCTCCCCACATCTCTGCCTGTCTGAACTCCTTTCTCCTCCACAGGGTGATTCCGGGGGGCCTGTGGTCTGCAATGGCTCCCTACAGGGCCTCGTGTCCTGGGGAGACTTTCCCTGTGCCCAGCCCAACAGACCCGGCGTCTACACCAACCTCTGCCAATTCACTAAGTGGATCAAGGACACCATCCAGGCGAACTCATGACGCATCCCAGGACCCGGCATTCTGGTGTGCCCCACCCTCTGCTGTCCTCACTCCTGCAGGAACCGTGACATTCTTTCCACACCCCTGTTCCTTCCTGAGGATGTTGGGATTGTTAATCTCTCCAGCCCCTCCCCAAGTCTCCTGGAATCAGGGTCCCCCTTCCCAGCCCTGGGCTGACCCTATCTTTCCAGTCAGGTCCTAGAGAGAGTTTCCCAGAATGACCAAGGTGAGGGTGCACCTCAGTCTCCCCCATGCTTCCTTCCTCAGGCCCAGAGGCTGTCCTTGTTCTGCAGCTATTGGTCCCAGAAATAAAGCATCTGAGGAGAAGTGAGCTCTGTATGTGGTGTCCCCCACTCACTGAATGACCAGACAGCCAGGAACAAGTCACTTCTCCCCTCTGCACCATTGTGTTTGCTCTTTGGGGGTATTTCACTTGCAAGAGACAGAGATCCACTCAAGCTGCTTTGCATCTTCTTCTTCTTCTTCTTCTTTTTAAGATTTTATTTATTTTTTGACACAAAGAGAGACAGTGAGAGAGGGAACACAAGCAGGGGGAGTGGGAGAGGGAGAAGCAGGCTTCCCATTGAACAGGGAGCCCGATGTGGGGCTCAATCCCAGGACTCTGGGATCATGACCTGAGCCAAAGGCAGACGCTTAATGACTGAACCACCCAGGCGCCCCTGCTTTGCATTTTCTTCACAAATATTGATCGAGTGAGTATTTTGTGCAAGGAAGTTGTCAGATGCTGAGATACTACAACAGGCAAAACAGAACAATTTCCTGCCTCACGGAGCTCCCATTCTCCTAGGGGAAGGCAGACAGTAAAGAGGTAAATGGATACATTACCTATGATATGAATAAAACGAGCACAGAGCAGGAGGAAAGAGGACTGTTGCGGGGAGTGGACCTATTTATATCAGATAGTCAAGGAGGGTGTGGGAGGGTGGTATAAAGCCTCACCCGCACCTCCAAGGTGTCCACAGCCTACTCCCTGGAACCTGGGAATATGTGGGTTTATATGGCAATGAGACCTCACAGGTGTGATTAAGGATCTTGAGATGGAGAGATGATCCTGGATTTTCTGGGTGAAACCATTGTAATCCCAAGGGTCCTTATAAGAAGGAGTTGGGGTGGGGGGCACCTGGGTGACTCAGTTGGTTAAATGTCTGCCTTCCGCTCAGGTCATGATCCCTCTCCTCCCTGCTTGTGATCTCTGTTGCTCTCTCTGTCTCTCTCTCTCAAATAAATGAATAAAATCTTGAAAGAAAGAAAGAAAGAAAGAAAGAAAGAAAGAAAGAAAGAAAGAAAGAAAGAAAGAAAGAAAGAAAGAAAGGAAGAAAGGAAGAAAGGAAGAAAGAAAGAAAGTTTGGGGGGGCAGTGGGAATGAGAGAGAGATTTGAAGATGCTGCTAAGCTGGTTCTGAAGATGAAGGAAGGGTCCATAAACCTAGGAATGTAGGTGGTCTCCAGGAGCTGGAAAAGGCACAGGAATGGATTCTCCCTCCGAGCCTCCAGAAGGAATTCAGCCCTGCCTGTCTATGTCTTTATCTTGGCTCAGTGTGGCAACATTTGGGACTTCCGTCCTCCAGAACAATAAGAGTAAATTGATGTTATTTTAAGATACCAAATGTGATAATTTGTTTCATCAGAAACTAACATCAAGGGCCTCTGGGAGGAAGTGGCATTTGAGCTGAGTCCTACAGAATGACAAGTGGCTAGCCCAGTGGATTTCTGGGGGCTCAGTGTTCCAGACAGAAGTACAAGGCAAAGGCTCTGATATGGGGACAGGCTGGGCATTTCCCAGGAACGGAAAGAAGACCAATGTACCTGGAACCTCTTGGTTTTCCCTAAGAGATTGGGAAGCCATTGGAGTTTTTTAAGCCAGATGGCAACATGACCTGATTTCTATTTTTTTTTTTTAAGGTTTTTATTTTTTTGACAGAGAGAGAGAGAGCCCAAGTAGGCAGAGCGGCAGGCAGAGGGAGAGGGAGAAGCGGGCTCTCCGCTGAGAAGGGAGCCCGACGCGGGGCTCCATCCCAGGACCCTGGGATCATGACCTGAGCTGAAGGCAGATGCTCAACCGACTGAGCCACCCAGGCACCCCAACATGATCTGATTTCTGTGTAAGATCATTCGCCTGTTGGTGGAGGACGCAAAGGAGCTGCTTATTGGCCAGAGGAGAAAAGGGAAGTCGGTTATCAAAAGAATATCCAAGACTTGGGACGGTCAGATGTCAGCCCAGAAGCAGCTAGCTGCCTGTGGGATCTCTCTCGCTCTCTTTCCTGCAGTGATCTTTCTTTCACGTCTCCCTCTTCTCATTTTCTCCAAGGGGCATCCTCTATTTCCTCCTCAGATTTGGGGGTCATGTGGCCTACAATAGCACGCCCCTGATAACTAGCTCCAATTATTGGCATTTCTTCAGTCCTGATTGGCTGCCTATGGGTCAGGTGCTGACTCTGGGTCCAGTCAGCTGTGGCCAAGGAAGGCTGGGCCACATAGTACACCCTGAATTCCCCTATCACCCCTTCACCAGCTGCAGTGGGCAGGGCAGTGCCTCTAAGAAGGCTTGTGGGCATGGAAGTCAATGAAACAGGACTGAGCGAACTCTTAAAACAGTTTTTTTCTGGACCTCAGTTTTTCCATCCATAAAATGAGAGGATTGCAATGTAAAGATCTTCACGTGTGGACTCAACCCCCGAGATACATACTCCTGGTGGTCAGGAGTGGACACAGAAAGTCACTCCAGGGAATATCTTGGAAATGGAACGTTTTCTTTTTAAGTAAGCTCTAGGCCCAACGTGGGGTTTGAAGTGACAACTCTGAGATCAAGAGTCACATGCTCTACTGACTGAGCCAGGCAGGTGCCCCAGAAATGGAACATTCTAGGAAAGGAATTACATTAGGGAATTTTATCGGTAACAAAACACTGGATTAAAAGTGACTTATATAATAAGGACATTTAGTATTTCACATAACAAGAAACTCAAGGTGAGGACAGTTACATGGGCAGCGTGATGTCTTAAGTGATGTCACTGGGGGTCCAGGTTCTTTCCATCTTTCTTCTCTAACATCCTCTGCATTCATTCATGTACTCAATGATAATATACTAAGTCAGGTAATAGTCTAGTCACTTGGGATAGGGTAATTCACAAAACAGATTTTTAAAAAATCTCTGCCTTCCTTCAGCTTACATTTTAGCAAGGGTAAGAAAATATGTCTGATTTTTTTCTTCAGGCTTGTAACCTCTTGCGTATAAAATGGCTGCTACAGTTCCAGCCATCACAGCCTCACACAACTGTGACAAAAGTCAGGAAGGAGACCTTCTCCTAGCAGACCTCTCTTTATAAGGAAAGAAAGTTCTTCTCCAGGATCCCTCCCTAACCCCCATCTCTCCCTCCCTCCCTCTCTCTCTCTTTCTCTCTCACACACGCACACACACACATCCACCTCTGCAGACTTCTCTTTGGGTCTCTTTGAGAGAGTCCTAATGCCCGTTGCTGCAAAAGAAGCTGGAAAAATTGTTTTCTGGCATTTTTAGTCTCTACTGTGGGGTGCAGTCTCTCTCCAGAAGGAAAAGGGGGTGAGAACTGGCTGTTGGGTAGACAGATTGATATAATGATACTCATCATAATTATCTCCCCTGTGCTCAGCCATTTACAACTCCTCACAACAATTTGGGGGGACATTCTACAAAGGTTGGGCTGCCAGGGTTGGGGCCACTGACCTCACCAATGATTCATCTCTTCTTGGTGGTCACCAATCTAAGATTAATATCCAGTGTGCTGTGACAGATGTGGACTTAGCCCAGCTTCGACTGCTCTCTGTAAGCAAGTACAAGATGGGTGGTGTGGTGCAAAACAGGGGCAAATAATACTGACATAATCAATGGCAGGTAACAGATAGTTCAAAGTTGGAATATTAGAGGAAAAATCTAGAATAGAGCAGAATGCTAGCTGAGGGGCAATTTTGAATATATTTTCCAAAATGATGCTGTTAGTCAATCTGCTTTTGGCAACAAGAGAAAATTCATGCTGTCTTAAGTAGGTTTTGACTTTGCATACCAAGAAATACAGGTAAGGACAGCTCCAGGCAAGGGATGTCAGGTCTGCAGTTCCACTTCTCTCTGCTTCTCTTGGTTCTCCTTCGTGTGGGTTCACCATCCTCAAGATCAACGACCGTAGTGAGTATCTTTTATAGAAAGATGACACTTTTCCAGAAACAACCCCAGCAGAATTCCCTTCATTCTTATTAGTCAGAATTAGGTCACATGTCCTTTCCTAAGCCAATCACAGGCCAGGGGAAATGGATTGACATGGTTGATTTGCACCAATCAGGGTTCGTTTTCTGAGATTGAGATCAGAAAATCCCCCGAGTAGTGTAGGCGTGAGGAAAGGGGCTGCTCCCTGAATAAAAGGAAGATTCTGTTATCAAAGAAGAAGAGAAAAATGGATGGTAGGGAAACAGCCAAGGGTGTCTGTGGATAGGCGTCCTTTTAGCAATTTTTTAAATTAACTTTTCAGTGAAGAATAATGTACAAACAGAAATGTGCCTTTATGATGAGTATTATACACTTGATGAATTTTCACTAAACAGAAGACACTCTTGTAACCAGCACCCAGATGGGGCAGTAGGATATGACAAGCTCCCCAGAAGATCTTCTAGGGGTCCCCCTGCAGTCAGTGCCCCCTGCCAAGTGTAGTGACCTTCCTGACTTTCATCACCATTCTTTGGTTTTGCTCATTTATAAACTTTGTATGAATAAATATAAATTTATTTATATAGATTTATGGAAATACAATAAATGTATACAAATAAAATCACAGTGCATTATCTTGTGTTTGGCTTGTTTTGCCCAGTATTATATTTGTGTGCTTCATCCAGATTTTTGTCTGTAGTTGTAAACATCCCCTTCTCATTATGGCACTGTATACTTTTGTGTAAATGTACTCCAATTTATTTACCCATTTTTACCATAAATGGGCATTTGGGAGTTTCTAGTTC